TGCAGTGCGATGTTGTGGTCATATCACGGTACAGTTGGCATGTGCCTTAAAAAAAGCAATGGTAGGTCCTCGATTGTTTTCTTAGAGCAAACTCCGGGGAAAACCGCACTGTACCCGTAGATATCCTAGGCTCGACAGTGTGAAACAGAACTAGGGTGGCTAGGAACAATGGGACCAGACATCACAGCGATACACTCGTCGACTAGGGCGACGGGGTTATCAGCTTCGTTTCTACTATGCTCTTTCTTATTCTCACCGCAGTATCGAAATCGCCCACCGTCCCGATCCTGCTCCGCCTCGAGATCCACATTGCACAGTGCCTCGGGAGATCCTGTCTCTTCCATAGCATCAAGTAAGGCACGCCTGAGAGAAAACTGGGGTCGGGAAACACGGAGTGTCCGCAAGCTTCATCCACTAATGAGGTGAGCGAGCAGGACTCCTGGGTACCCGCAACTCACCTGGGCAGAATTCCCGGGTCTGTATAAGCTGTGAGTAAAAGGCTGCCCATTGTCATCAAGAAAAGGAAAACCGTCATTAGAGTGACCCACGGCGAAAGCCTTCGCCATATGTCTATCGCAGGAAGTGCGACATACAAGCCGAACCTGAGGCGATCACTTCTCCTTTCCCCACACACCCCCCGAACTACCCGAGGACGATAGGGATGCTGGTCCACACTGGTGCCCAAGGCCTAGGGCCACAAACGCAGCGCCCTCCACACCCGAACCAGGTCCGCTGCGTTGGCCAGATCTTGTATACAGCAATCATGGTTGCGTCTGCTGTCTGCAACGGCGAGGCCAGAGGTGACTCACTCGATGCCATACTCAACCAAGAAATGACAGCAACACAGAGCTTAGGGGCAAGCCCAAACCAACTTCTGAAGTTAACGCTGAACCACCAGTGTTGATGAATACAACTATTGTCACATCGTAGAACACAACGAGGTACACGAGTAACGTACAAGAGTGCGAAATCGACACGACGCAACGCACCATGATAACAGCCTCGCGGCTTCCTATCATCTTCCACAAGGTCAGCCAGCTATTCGCCCTCTTGCAGGTCGTTCGAGAAGAGCATCTCTACCGAGACATACCACATGTCCACAACTTTCTCGGACGCCCTCCATCTCCCCAGGGCCCCGCTGTATCTCACCGGCAAAGATCTGAAGCTCCCACGACTAACGACCCCTCACCCCGTCAATCAGCATTGTTTTCTGATACCCGGGGTCGGAAAAAGCTGACCATCAGCACTGCTAAATGCCTCACTGCGAGACGATAATAATACTCAGATGCACTAATGGTGTACTCCAGAGCACACGCTAGTGAGTACACATACCTAT